CGGAAGCGCAGCGTGGACAGGCTCTCCTCGTAGCTGTGCGAGGCGGGGCCCAGGGTGGCCACCATGAGGGTCTTGGCGTTGCCGCCCAGGGAGTCCTGCAGGAGCCGGGTCAGCTTGGAGTCTCTGCTGTGCGAGGCGGGGCCCAGGGTGGCCACCATGAGGGTCTTGGCGTTGCCGCCCAGGGAGTCCTGCAGGAGCCGGGTCAGCTTGGAGTCTCTGTAGGGCACGTGGGTGCTCTTGCCGTCCACCAGCGCCGAGATGACGTTGCCCAGCGCCGAGAGGGAGAGGTTAATCTTGGAGGCCTCCTTGGGCCGCTCCCCGGGCCCCCCCATTTTGCTCTGGCGCTCGCTGCCTGCCAAGTCCACCAGGTTGAGCTTGCCCACGCGGATGTGGTCCTCCCCGTCCGGGCCGGCCTGGCTGCACTCCACCGTGATGGCGAAGATGGCGTGGGAGCGCGAGCTGTGCTCGTTCATGTTGGTGCTGCCCACCGCCCGGGCCTGGCTGCCCAGGTTCATGACGTGCTCCACGAAGGAGGAGAGGTCTTTGATGTAGACGCCCGTCTCCGGGTTCTCCTTCAGCTCCAGCTTCTTGCTCTGGTCCTTCGCCAGGAGGTCCCGGATCTCCTCCTGGTAGATCTCCAGGTAGGAGGCCCGCACCAGGTACTGCTGGTTGTGGGAGCGCGAGATGTGGGTGAAGACGTGCTCGAAGGAGCTGGGGATGACCCCGCGCTTCTCGGGGTCGGCCCAGGCCCCCTGCATGGTGTAGGTCTTGCCCGTGCCCGTCTGGCCGTAGGCGAGGATGGTGCCGTTGAAGCCCTGCAGGACGGAGTCGATCAGGGGCCGGACGCTCTCGTCGTACAGGTCGGCCTGCCTGGAGCTGGCGTCGTACACGGCGTCGAAGGTGAAGGTCTTGGCCAGCTCGCCGGGGGCGGCCCGGGGGTTGCGCAGGGTCACCTGGCCCAGCTTCACGTCCATCTCCAGGACCCTCTCGGCGCCGGCCGCCGCCTCCTTCCGGCCCATGGGGCGGCCGCG